ACAATAATAAAGTACCTGTACTAATATTAAGGAATAATCAATACGTCATCCGGTATTCCGGTTATCGCATAATGGGTTTTCACGTGTTTTTAACTTGAATAACTATTTTACCAACATATTAATGATTATATTATTATGGAAATGGCTTATGACGATCTGAAAATTTTATTGTTATGATTTGTCCGATAAAAAAAATAGTTTGTCAACCTCAACCCTAACAATTTAAAAATCAACGATAAGGTAGCAATATAACTATGACATTAATTAAATAGATACGATAAGCTAATAATTTTAAAATTGGTAAAACACAATTATTGTAAAATAATATTAATAAATAAAAACTGTTTACAATAAATGTGAATAATAAAGTAATATAAAATATTTTTAATCATATACATAATTAGTACTTATATCTAATTAATATTTGAAGTTTATTTCACTGAGTCCTAATACAGCACAAATATATTCATATTAAGGTAAGGTTATTTCATATCCATTAGAAAATCCCATGAAAAATTTAACGCGCAAATTAAGTTAGATACGCAGTATACCTACATAAATATATAAATATGTTCAAACATCAAAGTACATTCAATAAATAAATTTAATTTCTAGACAGATAAAAAAAATCGAAGTGATTATTGTAATCTCAAAGACAGTATGACAGTTATCATAGGTACGTGTTAATTTAGACATTATTGAATTATGCAACGATCCGCATTCGTCGATGTGTATGTAGCACAAAATAATATAGATACATCGTAAAGAACATGGTATTATATTGTTATTTGTCATGATACTATTAGTTAACAACTTTAGATTAGTTGAAAAAATAATTTGGTACATTTTCCAAAGTACAAGAGGAMGTTTTGAAAAAGTTAACAGATTTTTATTTTATTGGTTTTGTTATTGCCACACTTACTAGCGAGAAAGCTTATTAGTCTCGTCTATAACGGATAAACTTAATCCCACAGTTGTATAAAATGTTTCATTGGATATATAGTGCTACAAATATTGTTAAGGAGTAGACACCCTGCTAACACAATATATGTTATTATGTAGGTAATTAAGTGTAAAATATAACACGTCTTTCCACTCTCTGGTTGTCAGTGACGACTTTTTTTTCAYTTATGTTGTAAGATTTGACTAATGAACAATAATGTTTATTTCACCAACTGAACAGCATAAGTGGGTTGAAAATTATAGATACATCCCGACGCGTTATAGTCAAAAGCCCCCCAAATTGTCAGTTTTATGGCCCAAGATTCTTTAATACTAGTCTGTTCATCAAATATTAACTTTTTGAAAACTAAATTGGTCTGATAGTAAGGTAAACAATTGTTTAAAAAAGTATTTTTAAATAAATACCTACCTACCTGCATATTTATACAAAAATTTTGATTGATTTTTTTGCTTTGTTCTCTTGTCCTAGTTTTCGATAAATAATTTTAAATAATTAAATCTGAATTGGAATATATTAATTATTTTTTAAGAAACTATTTAGTCTTAGAAGCTCAATGATACAATATAATATTTYTTATAGCCAAATGAAATTCAATAATTTACAGTAGAACTGATTTAAATTGAGTTATTGGCTGTATTATAGTGATTTATAGTGAATGCCACAAACCAATAATTACTGAGTAAAGCTCAAATGATCAAATATACCATTTATCGTTGTATATTAATATTATAGTATTATACCGATTAGATTTTTTTATTTGAAAATATAATAATTTAATATACATGGCTTAAAAAACAATATGTAAAATTATTTTTATAAAATTATTTTTATATAAACAGAAATAATAAAACGAATAAAAATTGTGTTCATTTTATGAAATCAATTTCCATCTAATCGTATTTTACTGACTCTATAGTAAGAATTAAAAAAAAAAACTAAATAAAAAATAATCTTAGCCAACAATTTCGTTTGACACAAATTGTTGGTTGAATACCGTCTACAAAGTTTAAATTTAATTTTAAGTATAAAGTAATGTATAACGCACTTGCGTCATACATACTTGATCTTGTACAAGATATTCTATACAATAGGTACATATAGCTCGTATCTGCTTTGTAGTAATAATTCGTTTCGGTGCAAACTTCAAACTTTAAATATAAATGCATAATATATCGCCTACTTCGTGGTGTCATTTTTCGATTAAAAATTTAAAAATTTACGCCGTTTCTGCCACAATAAAAAAAATAATAAATTTGCGTATATTTCATACATATCACGTGTGATATTTATGTTTACGATCGCGTGCCACATTTTGTCCTACAACCACAATAATGTTTTTATTACACAATATATACCTACGCCGCAGCTTTCGTGTATGAATAAAGYGGATCACAAAAACGGTATAAATATAATTCTGACCTAGTACAACGGACTGTGATTTTTTTTTACCCTCCGGGACACCACTGTTATTATTATACCCACAGTAAGTCATATACCTACTTTTAGTTTTGATTAGTCTTAGCGTCAGATCAATAAACCAGCGGTCACGGAGTTAATAAAATTTTAGCACACGATATATAGGTACCTATTTTCAAAGTAGTTAATTATCAAAATGTTTTCATTGAAAGACTTTTTTTTTAACTGATTCTCGTTTAATATTGATTATAACCATTTCTACAGTATACAGAGCGATTCACCAACATTCTCACCTTCATTTTTTTTCATTTAATAATGAATTAATTCAAACTGTGTTGTTTAAAATTTTTAAATATACTCAAATATCAAATTTTAAAATGCTTTAATTCTTAGTCCTACTTAAGAAGTTGCATGTGCTATACAAACTTCCGTTTTTCAATTAAGAACCCCTTTTTTAYTATACATTTTTTAGTAGATCATTTTTTGGAAAATGTTCATGTCACTGATTTAAAATTCCATATGATAGCTTCTTATAATTATTAAAATATTTKTGCTAAAGATAATTTAGTCCTTAAAAATGGTATTACAAAAATATAAGCTATATGTTATATTAGATAACATATTTATTGTACCTTATTATAACGAATTAAAAATGTAGATTAACACAAKGTTAAATTAGCCAAAAATTACTCGTATGAATAATAATTTTAATGTCAACATTAACATTTTTAGAAAAACGATCCACTGTATAATTTAAGGATGTTCTTGTTTAAAAAAAAAGTTTGTAACTCCATAAGATACACCCTAAGTAGTATCCTAAATCTCAAGAATACAAAAATCTGATTTTGAATAACTGCATTATTGAAGAAAAAGAAGGTGAGCAATACTGAGCAATGATCATACATGGGAAATCATCTAGCATCTATAAATATTTTTTTCCTTTCAAGATTACTAAATATACCAAATTAATTTATTAACAATTATAAACTTAATAAAACAAAATTAATCGAAGCCTTTGATAAAAATATAAATGTTTTTAGACAGGTAAAAKATAATTCTGTAAAAATAATTTCAATAAAATTAGAATATTTAAAATATATTGCATTCAAGTTTAAATCATATAGTTTATACATAAATTTAGAGCAAAAAATATTTCAATATTTATACACATTGTAACTAAAATGATAATAGTTTATAGTATTATTTTAAAATAAGTTATTCATAAAAGAAAATGTAATATATGGAACATGACTTTAAAAGAATACCTTTTTTGGACTCGTCCATACCATACATAATAAATCTATTTTAAGGGTATACTTCTGAAAACAAAATTTTTAAATTTCATAGCTGCAACAAATATTATTTTTTTATGGGAATTTAAAAAAAAACGTGAATTTTTTTTACATATTAAAATATCTCAAAGTTTTAATAATTTGTTTAAGGCTTTTTCTGCCAAATTCATCTTATATTTTACATAAAATATGAGGTTAAATCACCAAGAATTATAGAATAATTTCTCATCAACGTTTCAATAAAATCTAATAATTACATAAAAACTTTTGACAAGATATAATAAAATCAAAAATTGTTTCAAACTACACCCGTTACTTTCTAGAAATATGTACATATCTTGTTCAAATATTTTCCATTCCTTGTTGAATAATTGAATATTGAATAAATATATTGAATCTTGTAAAAAATATTAATTATATGAGTGTATACGCTATAGACTTTAAACCTATACATGATAACTTGGGAAAATTTAAATTTAMAAACTATTTTCGACCGACAGATAAGGGTCTAATGAGATTAATAATACTTAATATAGTTTATTTATACATTAAACTTGTAACAAATTATAAGAAGTTATTATTCGAATATGAGGATTATATATTTAAGTATATGTATACCTATAATTATATKTTTTCATATATATAGAATTACATTGCACCTAGATTTTTTTAAATTATAATTTAAATTCTAAAATACATATAAAGTGAATACACAAATTACGTCTGAGCGAAGGCTAAATTATAAGACTAACTTTATTTTAAACTTTGAAGTTGTACTTTTTATACCTATTTACATATGTAAATGCGTTTTATATAGACTCAGGATTAAAAATTACGTTRATATTTTAAACTAGACGTTTTTATAAAAAGATAAAAACTTAATATCGAATATATGTTAAACGGTAATACTTGAAAATTCGTTAAGGAACTCAAATGACACTGTTTAATAAATAATAAATATAGTRCAATAAAAATGTACACAAATTTAACAAAAGTAATCTTCAACGGTAATCCAGTAAAATAAATAAATTATAAACTAGACTATGAAGTTATGGCATATAATTAAACGCCATCGCCACATCGTTCAATATTTTTTAGTTTGTTAAAAATGAATTAATAAGATTGCATTTTTTACATTTTTATATTTTTGTATAGTGGCATTATTTATTTTTTTTGAAGTCCAATGAATAAGTGTTAACGTAGTTAATATTGACTAAAAAATGTTTGTCAATCAACATCTTAAATTAAATATATTGTTTTACAAGCATACTGTATTATACTTTTTTTGAACCATCATGATTTATTATTGTATTAATAATATTATAAAGTGTTTGTTTCAGATGCCATAAAATGGAACGAATATGGAGGCTGCTACAAGCGGCTTCCTTTCTCGTACCGTTACTACAAAACGTGTTATCAGATAGCTCAGACGTGTAAGTAAAATTATAAGATAAAAAATTACGTTTTATTTATTATCGTATTTAAAATAAATACCCATCACCGACAAATCTGTGTTTGTTAAAGAAGGAAAACTTATCAAGACTTGTTACTTAGTCAATATAATTATATGATGATATGTTAATTACCTAGTCAATATATTAGTGATTTATACCACTTCGTATAGTATAATTCCTTTCACAATGTATTCTATACACTGAACATTTTGAACTTATTTACCTAAAAATTATTAATCAATAAAAATATATGCATTCACATCTAAATCCGAAAATCATATTTCGATTGAATTGCATTTACGGTTTTCTCATGACAAGTCCGTGAGTTTTTAACAACAGATTAGAGTTACATACCAAAGCCTATGCACCAATAATGTTTAAAAATTATACATTTTCAAACTCACTTTTACAGACCGAGCACTATCATACCATTTTTTGAATATTGTAACTTAAAAACTTCTGAAAAGCAAACTTATAGCCATCAATAATATGAAATTATTTACTTTTTTCAATTAACATTTTATCAGCTTTCGTTATTAATTAATATATTTTAATTTTAAAAGCTTAAAAGTATTAAACGTAGCTGTCACAAGTTGTCAAAACCTAAGTATGGATTTAATTTTCGGCTATATATCTGGACGCAATACAGTTGTCGTGATTTATATAATATTCTTTTTAAACGCAATTTGAACTCAGCCATGTAAACATATAAATACAAAACAAATATTCTATCGCTTCACTTTTTATAACAAATAGTTTCACTGTTTTACTTTAATCAAAACCCTGGTTTTGTGAACTATAATATACAAAATATGGATCATTTTAAGCAATCATAATTTACAAACTCTATAATATTATTAAATTTTAAACCAAGTTTAAAAATCAGTTTATTTTAATTTAACCTATGTATGAACTTTATAATTTCTCGAAATATTTACATTTATTCTTTAGAATAATTCAAATGATTCAAGCTTTCTATTGATAATAATAAAGTCTGTATTAAAGTATATCAAATAATCTTTATTGTTTAAAATAAAATTACAACATATTATATGTGATTTTTATAGAACTTTAACTATTATAATTCATTAAATGTTTCACTTAAGGTTTGAAAATGGAAAATCAGAMAAAGAAATACTTGATAATTTGGTGAACCCTAACAGATATGACAAAAGATTATTACCACCAGTGGATGGTAAGTAATTTTCTAATTGATTAATATTTCATTTATATTTAATAATGACTATATAAAGAACCTAAACTCCTTGAGGTGAAATAATATTAATAATTTCAAAAATTACATTTTGATTTTTTTTTCCTTTAATTGATTACTGTGTAAATGTGAAATTAAAAAATAAATAAATAAATAACAATATACATTATTTCGGAGTCAATTACTTACTTACAAAAAATTACGTTAAATATCAATTTTTAAGAACAACGTCAAAACAAAATATGATATTCTTACATAACATTACATTCATCAWAATAAGCATGAAAAACTTTATCATGTTTTTAAAATCCTTTCATCCATATTTTTTTCATAATTTCCTATGTATATAACCTAAAAAGTCACTTTAAATTTTACAGTAGATGTTATTATTGAGTGAATAATTATGTTAAATTAKAATTTCATGAAAAATGAACGCATGCATAAAATTATTGAGTTTAAACTATGTGTACATTTTTTTTATTTATATGAAACTAAAATTTCTTTTTTTTTCAAAATTTTTATATTTTATATTAATGAACATAAATAATAATATTGATCGTATCAAAAAATCATAAGCTTCAGTCACTGATTCCATAAGACCTTTGATCATATTTTATTTATGTTTTGTTTGTGCCAGCCCTACCCATTTTTTTCAAATCATTAAAGTTCATTAATTTTATGTGCATCCATACTGTTTTTTACACTTTTTCTAACGAAAGTTAAGTGACATCGGTATCATAATTTATTAATGCAAATATTTGGTATTAATAAATTAGATTTAGATATCAGAAATTCAGAACAGAATACAATCTCTAATTTCCATAACAACATTATTTGATAGTCAATTTAATTTTTTTTGTTTTAAAAAATTAATTTGATTTTGTGTTYTTCTCACCCATTTATATTTCCTATATTATATTCAAGCTAGTTTAATTTTATACGTTTTCCAGTGAACTATAAGTCACATCTTAATCACTCGTATTTGAAACTTAATTGTTAATAATTTTTTAGAATTAAAAATCTGCATAGATTATTGTTTCCAATTCTGTCATAGTTAACTAGTTCAATTTTTATTTTTTTATTTTTTAARATTTAACCCATGTTCCTCTCAGGGTTTTTATTTGTTGTTTATAARTTGTACTCGAGTAAATTTATTTATATCCTTTTACCAGCCATCAACGAGTGGCCTTTAAATAATCATTCATTAATGAATTTGCCTGCCGGTGCCCCGAGACTTAGTATTGACACAGTGATAATGAATTGTTTAATTTAATAATTTACACAATACCTACCTACTRTTAGTATGCTACTAATAACATGTTTGTGAAGAAAATATTCCAAGATTTATAGTGTATAAAGATTCGTGGTTAAATATTGCATATATTTTCAAAAAAATTTCTAAAAAAAAAATATATGAATAATTTATATTATGTCGTATTACACGGGTAATGACTAAAGCGGCAACATGATACGACCGCAACGCAACCATTTGATCGCGTGACTCAATTCCGGACGTTTTTAGAAGTGAAGTTTATCTCTTTATTTTAGAATTTTTATAGCCCTTCTAGATCTTACACTGATCCTTGTTAACAAACAACTAAGCCAGTGGTTCTCAAAATATGCACCGTGATGCACTAGGGGCACCACAAGCACTTTCTAAGGGTACCATGGTGACTCATAATAAATTTTTTTTTTTTCTTCAAAAATTCGTTATTAATGAGTATTGTTTTGTACTGTCTCTTATGACTTATGGTGTTTACAGCAGGGCACCGCGGAAAAAAATTTGGATACCGCTGAACTAAGCCTATATCGTATCATTATCAATAGTATTATTTGTATTGATGAAATTATTTTTTATGTATTAGTAAATTTGTATTATTAATTAATATCTAAATTCTAATCTAAACAAGAATTATAGATTATTTAAATTAAATTAAAATAGAAATAGAAAATACTTAAATACCCAATATTCTCTTAGTGCCCAGTATAGATCCACTATACGCCACCTAATGATATAGCTGTGAGACAATTATTGTCTCACAATTAACCTTCTCACACCGTCACTGATTGGATAGGTTAAAAACATATCTATAATAGTTACACTTTGTCAAGATATTATAATATTCGGTTAAAATTTCAATTAAAAAAATAATAATTAAATAATTACACAACAAATTGCTTATGGCCTTTTCGTTATAATTGTATTCAATTGTCATTATAAACGTATAATACAACTTCAAACGTGTTTATTATTATATACTCCATTTAAAAATTTTTATCATCAACAATATAATAATGTTAATTAGGTATTAAAACAAAATAATGTCACAATTTATAAAATATAACTGAATCAAAAAACCAACTATATCTCATTTATATTTCTAAGACATTTTTCATTTTTATTTTTCCATCCCCCGTACTTAAAATTTACGCAGTATGGTTTAGTTTCTGTGGTCGTTTTACAAATTTCAAAGCATATTTTATGATATATAAGAGATAAATATAAATAATACTATGTAGGTACCTATAACAATAAAAACAATGCACAAAGCGTCACAGACCAACAAAAATTACTCTCTGATTTACTTTATTAAGCTCCGTATATATAAGCTTGTTAAAAACGATATTTATAATTTATTATACCTTAGGTAACAATTTTACGATGTCTTAAAACGGAAATTTAATACAAGTATGGGTATGATCATAAAAAAAATTAAAAAATTGGATTAAAATGAATATATGTATATGAAAACACTATACATYACATATTAGCGTAGGTGAACAGTTAAAACAATAACTGCAATAATAAATTAATTCTAAAATCAATTCTTTGTTTAAAAACAACTATTTTTCTGAATATATAAAAACCATGTGCATGTTTAGATCAAGATTTTTGTTGCGGGATGAAAACGCCTCAAGACGTAAGAGTGATACTTCCATCAGCCAACAGACATCCTATTCGTAAAGGTAAATATGGCTATAGACATCATACCAATTAAATTTATCCAATATGGCAAATATAATATTATAATACAACCATGCATTTCTAGGGCCTTTATTAGTAAATGTCAGCGTGCTATTACTCAGTCTGGCCTCACCCGACGAGTCTAGTTTGGTAAGGAAAAACATTCAATATAAATCGATCGTTTTAAATTTTAATGATGTGCACGTCCTTGCCACGGACTAATCCCATTTACCTGCATAAATATATATTTAATAATTCGCTTAATATTTACTTATTATCTAATTATATTTCGCTTGTTTTGTCTAGAAGTACGAGGTTGAATTTTTACTGCAACAACAATGGTATGACCCTCGTTTGCGGTACTCGAACCAAAGCCGATATGATTTTCTAAACGCTATTCACCACCACGGGGACATTTGGGTGCCGGACACGTATTTCATCATGCACGGCGATTTCAAAGCATCGCTAATACCAGTACACTTTTCTCTGAGGATCTACAGGAACGGCAGTGTCCATTATTTAATGAGGTAATTATAACCGTACATCACACTACCGCCTGGTCCCATTTCAAATTTCAAATATGGGATATCTGTCTGCTTTGTAAAGTTGTGTAGTCTATTTGTTAGTATGCCCATATATAGTTGTATACAGTATACTATAGGGTTTCCCGCACACTCGTTAGATCCTGACCGGTAATAAACATGTTGGCATACCCGTRGGCTGTAAAATGTTCCAAAGAAGCGATAAGGCAAAGCGGTAAACGACGAAATACGTAAATTTAATTTGCCTACCCACAAAAACTTCAAAAAGCAGCCTACGTTTATTACTAACATGTGTATTTTAGAATTATAAATTAATATAAGTGTACCTAGAAATAAAACTTAACAATTTTTCAGACGCCATTTGATATTGTCTTGCCAGGGTATATTGAACATATTTCCGTTTGATGATCCGCAGTGCACGTTTTCAATGGAAAGCAGTAAATATTATTTTATTTTCATAACGTTTACATTATTAAGTGATAAATAAAATAACAAATTTATTTTTGTAAACAAGGTACGACGATCCGAATTGTATCTTGTTTTTACGACATGACTCATCATAAAAGTTATTGGTTTGTCTTCATTAAAGTAATGAAGTGTGACTTAATAAAAAGTATTTTTATGAGATGAAAAAGTCGTAAATACGATTAWTGTTATGTTATATATTTCTACTATATATTTCATTTTGTGTGTACAAGCAACGAAATTGCATTTTATATATATTATACATCACTTTTGATTGTCATCTATTCTGTTTAGTATCATATGAAATGTCAGCTATAAAATATGTCTGGAAAAATGATGAAAGCACTTTGAAGAAATCACCATCGTTAAAAACTTTAAATGCATACTTAGACCGGAACCATACAACTGAATGCCCATCGACTGGAAGTTGGAGAGGTAAAATAGTATATTTTATGTTTATGATTATATATGTTMGTATCATTAATATTTAACTACTGTTATTTTAGAAAAATATCAGCGTACTTTAAATTAAACTAAATTGCCAAAACATAATTAATTATTTCGATATTTGATAAATAATTGCTGTCTAACATTTAATAACTCTAAACGAAGCACGTTTAGATTACACACATATGATAAAATAATAATCATTTTCCGAATGTTTGCCCACTATCTTTGTAACAAAAAATATAGGCAATTTAAAAATCCATCCATAATGTTAGAGTTAAAAAAAATTTGAAAAATTATTTCGATAGAGAATTTAATAACACACAAACAAATAAATAATATAGGTACACCTAAAATGTAAAGAATTTCAACCGTTTTATTTTATGAAAATACTGATTTAATTTATTTTATAATATTTAAATTACTATTTATTTATAATAAATAATTATTAATCAATATTTCATTTATTGTAATTAGGGATTTATAAAAGTATATGCTAGTTTTTTTACAACGTTTCTAATATTACATATTTTAGTTAAGTGRGTTTTATATTATTATAATCCACGTCACATAATGTCGACCAATAATTATTTATTTACAGGTAACTATAGTTGTCTTGAAGTGAATTTGATTTTTACCAGAGACAGAGCATTCTATTTTACTACGGTTTTCATACCTGGTATAATATTGGTAACTTCATCATTCATCACCTTCTTTCTTGAATGGAATGCAGTGCCGGCAAGAGTAATGATAGGTATTTTATTTTAATCTACCGTAACTATATTATTTCATTCAAAAGCCAAATAAAGTATCCTCCATTTTCAATAATAAAGTTTACAACAATCGTTAAATAAAATATTTTAGAATTTTAAATATTTATTTATATGTAATCAATGATTTAATTAAGCAGCATATTAATAGCATTTAAACATTATTTAAATACAACCAAACAGTCATTATCGAAATTCAAAATATAAAGGTATTATAATCATTCATATAAGCAACATAGATGACATGTAACATATTATTACTTAATTAACATGGTCCATGATAGATCGAAACAAAAACTCGATAWTAGATCATCATACAAGTAATAATATTTATGATAATTTTGATTTTATTTAACCGAAATTTGAATGCAGATAAAATTTAAACAATTAGATTTAAAAATGATGTCATTTTTCCATTTTTGMTATATCTCGGAATACATTTTAACCTCAAAGGTCAAAAATTAAACTCAAAAAGGTATTCATGCATTTTTATGACGTATAGGYTTAGTAAAAAACTACCAAGCCGTCATATTTTGGACATTTTTTATAAACACTAAAATACACTTTTAAGTTTTATATTACGAYAAATCATTTTTAAATATTTAAAATTATATATTCATTACAAACTTAATAATATATACTCGAATATATTGAAGTTGTTAAGTGATTTAGTAAATTTAAAATTTAAACATTAGTGTACCGCCAATGCATACGTCTCTACAAATAATTGGTTTTAATCAAAGAGACAATAATTTAATAAGTACTGGTTTACACCACAATAGTTGTTTTCAAAAACAAAAAATTCCCTTAAACTTATAAAAATGATTACAACAAATCACTTTATAACATTTCAACATGGTGCATTTTAGGTGTAACTACAATGTTGAATTTTTTCACTACATCAAACGGTTTCCGAAGTACTCTGCCAGTGGTATCAAATTTAACAGCTATGAACGTTTGGGATGGCGTGTGTATGTGTTGTATATACGCCAGTTTATTGGAATTCGTGTTAGTAAACTATGTGGGACGAAAACGTTCAGACTGGCCGTTACCAATTGTATACCAGAATAAAGATCAAGACTACAAACAAATAACGCAAGTAAGGTTTCGTTGTATTTAGTATTTTTCTTTTTATACTGTATAGGTACGCATACCATAAAATACGTATCATATTCCGGCAACTTAAATTRCTTGTGATTATATACCTACTTATATTATAGTATGGATGTTTACTCCCTCAAAATATCAATTCTGTAATTATTTAATCAATATAATTATTTGTATATGGCTCCTGGAGAGTTAAATTTCGTTAATTTTATTTAATGATATGCCTCAATGTTTTACGAATACATTTTAAGTTATGAGCCATCACTCATTAGTAATTAAATATTAATATATTATATAATATACTAAAATTAAAAGATATGTATACCTAACTAGAAGTGTATAAAGCACTCCAAGCCATCCATTATTACTTGCATTTATTTTTTACTGATATTTTATTCCAGTTTACTTTCATTTTAAATATTAAGTATACGTATTTTAAAAACATAACACCAGACTTTAATTACAATAATCGATTTTATATAATATAATTGTATTTGCATGTAGCAATCCCAAGCGCGAATAAGTAGATATCTCGCCAAAACACTGGTGAAATATTTTTTAATCGATTAGAAATGCGTTTGAAAAATCTATCAGTATACTACACATTTTAGTATTAAACGAAAGAAAAATATCCAAAAAAGACATAAAAATATTAAATTATTATACGTGYTTACTATAAAGAATTATTATTTGAATAGAAGTTTATTATAGAAGTCCTATACTATACAGGCACATGACGTATTTGGATTCAACCKTATAATATATTAATGTAATAACCTGAAGATTTTAAAGGAAATAAAATCGAACCTGTCTCATACTTTTCATATTATAACCAACATTTCTACAAGATAGATACATTTTAAAACAAAAAGTATTAATAAGAATAATAAACAAATCTAAAACTACCGAGGTATGCACCAAAATGAATGTGCCACAAAGACTTATTTTTGCTCGAAAATATCGTACAATACGGTTATTACATTTGCATTTTAATATAAAAGTGATAAAAATACTATATGCGACTATCCTCTTGTCTAGAAAGTTCGTGTGTTATATTATATTTTATACTGTTATRACATAATAATAACTTTATGAAATTTATAATGTCACCCGGTAAACATTTGCACACACACACTTTTCACAATATGTAYATACATAATCTAAACTCAACACCTGAAAACATCACAATTACATTAGACATCTGTCTTCTTTTATAAAAGTAGTTTTAGCGATATTGTCTGCATACGTGCCATGTATTATTAGTTTATCGAATGTRTAGTTTGATATTAATATTCTAATCCACTAAGTGGTAAATCTAAGATAATTATATTGTGGGGGAGGGGAGGGGGTGTTACGAATTACGATTTTGTATTATTTCACATATTTATCAGATACAAAATTAATGATGAATAATATAATTTTTTACCGAATAATATTGTAAGCCTACATACTTGTATACCAATATTACTTGTGGTACCTCAGCATTCCTTTCAGCCTAAATATATGCACTGCAAATGTTGGTTATTTCATCAACAACGTTTTAAATTGTATTTGTATTTACTTTGCATATAATAGAWACCAAAAAAAATTGTAAATTCATAAATATGTTATTACTCTAGTTTCACTCATTTGCAATTATCACTTATCACACATCAACGTTCATATAACAAATGTAATGAGTCATTATTATCCATCTATTGACTTATAATTAACTTCTACCGTTTTATACAATATGACTGTATAAGTATAACGCCCTTACAMCAATAATAAATTTAGATAATTATGTTGTTGAAGGCCAAATATACAGATGATATTATATTTGAAATTAATTACATTTATTTATAACAAAATTAGAAGTAAAATCAGAGCATAATTAATAGGTATATAGTACGGTCATGGATTCATCAGTCTCGCTATAATAGAAAGAGATCAATTATTTTGAGTAATGACAACTCCTTCCAATTGTCATCAAGGTCTGGTCACGCCTATATTGAGTTTAGTATATAAATTAAGAAACGACTCTTCAATACACATAATACCTAGAACCTAGTATTTAGGATCTATKTTAGAGATACAATGTCATAAATTCTAACATAATTTGATTAAAAATTTAAATATTGGTAAGCATCAACGCATTCTATAGCTCATTGCATTAGCTATACGTACTCATGTCTTATTTGGTATTCCTATATACAATGACAAAATTATTATGTATGTACTATGTATATATATATATAATATGTTAAAAACGTAAATGCCTTTTGAATGCATTTCGGCTTTATTTCGTGTTTTTTTTTTTTATACAAAATTTAACAGAATAAAAACTTATAAAACAATTTTTTTCTCAATATTCCCACAGCGTTACTTAAATCGACAAGATGCAAATCAGATTAGTTATGAAAGTTATGTGGATAACGAGAAATATTCAATATACGTAAGATTTTGGATAATAATTAAGTAATATTGGAGGATATCGGATACGATTTATTTATGTACCATATTCCCGATGTAGTAATATATGGTAAATGCCCTGCATTAGAAATAACTGAATCCAGAAAAAAAACATTTATGCACTAAGCCAGTATATCATAATTTAGCAAGCTTACTACTTAAAATATATCACAGGTATATAACTCATCGTAATTACGCTGTATGTAATTTATGGCGTTTAAATGCTTATTACAAATTTTAATAAATTACATATATATATTAACTTAGAAGTATTTTCCATTGTATATGTAAGCGACACATGTAAATCGTAGATAGATGTTGGCCTAATGAATGGGAAACTTAAGTACCTATTGCCAAACGGCAACTATATTTATATATCATTCACAGGCTGTTTATTTTTTTTTTAGATACCTTCCTAAGTACTTCATGTACATATTTTATTTTATTAAAATAAAATTATTCAATATCAGATATTKCCTCGATTGTTGCTAATCTTCACATATTTCAAATACTAATAAAATATTGTTAGCTGTCTCTTAACTCATTTCGAACTTTCGTATTACACTAAATTATATTTTCGGATTTAATTTTCAGAACTTAACTTAAAATATTTGCATAAGGAACATATTTTATAGATTATTCAATTATACATTACCAAATCGTTTTTCGTGAATATTAAATAATGACTAGACGTATATTATACAATTTCACGAGAAAAAAATTATTCAGTTATTAAGTGCATTCTATAAATATGAAGAATTTTATCATGCTAGTAATAAATGTATACATATCATTCGTARCCTTTTATTTTATTGATTTATTTTCTTTAATTTTTGAATCCTATACTTATGTTTACGTGTTACCCTGATTGGCCTGATTACTCAAGRACAAATAAATGATATTTTAATTCAAATTATTTAAATTGAATTTTATTATAATCAATAATTCTATGACGTATGAATAATTAAAAAATTAATTTGTTTTATATGTTTATTATAAAAATTACACATTATAGTTTGTATTTTGTCAACATTCATAGACACACAATTTATTGATAATCATTAATCACATTTTATGTAATGATAAATATTGTACACTTTTAACGCAATAATTTATTAGGTATCTAACGTCTTGTTGTTAAATAATAAATTTAGACACATGAGTTATCTTAATATTTTTAATTGTAACTATAAAGTGGGTAAATAGCAGATATACTTATTTTACTATTATTATTGGTACAACTTCAACTTTGGTTGTAACAATATCACAATATTAAATATTATTGTTACATAATATAATTAAATACAACGGTTTTTCTAGATTAAGTTGTACCTACATAATATCAATATTTGTTTGTGGAATGAGATGATTTTGATGACGTTGTCTTTGATTGTGATAAAGACTTTAAAGATATTATCTGCAGGCATTCCTAAGCTTTTAAATACTTTAAATAGAGTTTAAAAGAAATAAGTTTTTAAATTAAATAGATCAAAATAAATGCTGATATATTTTAAATCACATTACATTATATGAAATTGTATACCTTAGCTGAATCTGTATTCAACAAAATTAACAGAATAACATCAAAAAAAATATTACAAATTAATAACAAGTAGAATAATACAGGGGATTCTGGATCTTCTTCCTCTTAAATTTACATGTAAATTCATGACTTTTTTATAGGCAACGCGCAGTACACGCTCCTCCCGAGATTCTCTGAAATTATCAATAATTAATCAATATAGGCAACCTGCAACACACATAAATTTCGTCACTCGTCGGCCGTCGCAGCCGCCGCCCGAGCCGATATTATGAAATATTATTTTAAATATAATATTCTAGTATATAATTGATTTGATTACATAGAACCTTTATGAGATTTTTTTTCCTTCATCTCACCAATCAAAAATTTAAGCGCGCGCACACACACACACACACACACACACACATACATTATATATACATACACGGATAAACCATATTACTCACGTATAAACATAGCATATGCATACATACAAAACTCACACACACTCAAATTGGCACCTAGTAATCACACATTTAAACATTCTAATCCATCCTCGCCTCCCTTTCTCTCGCCTTTGAAACATTATCCACTTGTGCGACAACAGACCTGTAGAGACGTCATGTCCTAGTATTGTCGGTGATAAGGTGATTACTAGAAGTTATAATTAGCGCATGMAGCAAAATGTAATGGTTAGGAAACCACAATCATTCCAAACAGCGAAGAAAAGTGTATTTCTTTTTCAAAACACGTCTCCAACAACTTTTCAATACGGTTTATAGAGTCATGCCATTTCATGCCATCAAAACTATCGACACTTGCAGAAAATCTAAAATCACCCGAGTTCGAAAAGTTCAGAGAAACCACAAAATCATTCATGTCCAGAGATATGAATCTCGTCACACGTAAGGGTGTATAGGTACCCTTACGAGCTTACCGATAGTTAGGATAAGTTAGAAGAAATGAATTTATCTAAGCAAGCAGATTTTTATAGTAYATTAACGGAAGAACATAATATAGACGATGAAGAATACGAACAC